TCATGAAGCATCTGATGATCTTGCTAAAAAAGAAAAATATTACTCAAATATTCGCGTTAGTCACTGAGATTGGAATCTCTGTGATTTTGATAGATTTTTCTGGATAAATTTGCCGATCGGGTTTATATAATGGGTAAAAATGTAGTATTATTCATATTAGGTATTTTAAAGGCAATGGCTTTTTTTGCGTCAACTTGTGTAATAAAGCTTATCCTAATAATTTTCTTTGTTAAATTAGTAGAAAATTTCTAACAGATGCACCAATAAATGAAGGTATTTGGTATCACAAAATACATCACAAGCAGCATTTGTTTTTTTATTAGATTTACTGAAGAGAAAGATATTTGCGCTGCAGTATGCAAAGAAAATTGGAGAGATATATTCTCTTTCGATGCATGTAATATTCTTTTCAGTATCATTTTAAAGCATATTTTCAGATGTATCATTTGCTTGGTCGTTGTCGTGAACTTTATTTTCAGATGAAGGGAGAGTTTCAGGTATTTTACCCTTATTATCATTGGATGAAGTTAGATCATTGTCTATAGTTTTTCAGTTGTATTTTATTTTCTTGGGTAAAAGTTGACTGAACTAGTATTTGTTGTTGTAGGTTCTATTACTAACTAGTGAACTGAAATAATTACGGTTTGGGTTTCTTCGCAAAATAGTTATGTTTTTTTTCATTTTTTAGAAATTTTGCGAAAATGGGAAAGAGTCATTAGATTATCTTATTTTGTGAAATTTATACAACATCATAAATCATGTGATATATGTGATATTATATATTGTTATAAATAGATTTTATATCGTTATATATGAATATCATTATATTGTGATACTAAAAGTATATATAATATCTATAATATTTTATCGTAATATAAAATAAAGAGATTTATTAATTAAAATTGATATATAAAACTAATTTAATTATAACTGTTTTGGGTAAGATATTTTTTATCATTATAAGACATTATTGTTATATAATAGTATTGTTATATCCAACTTTGACTGTATCTCTTTTTTACTATCTCTAATTTACTAATTTTTTCTCTTTTTACTTTTATATTCTACTAATTGTCTCTCTTTTACTTTTCTATTCTATTATTCTTTTTTTACTTTTATATAAATTTTTTGAGGTATCAAACATTTAACATTTATTTTCTAATATTCTTATCAACGTTTAACCAAAATTTTAACTTTATTGAATAGTATATGCTACTGTAATCTCATTTTCATAATATTTTCTTTTTATATTTTAACTTATATTATTTATAATTCATTTTCAAATTATTTTAAATAAAAGCATAATTTCTATATAAATAAATTATGTTAAACTTAGTAAGTTTACAAAATATTACATGATTAAAAATTTTAAATTACATTTTATCGAAAGATATAAAATATTATAAATAAATTTCTAGCATAAATTTTCATAAACTTTCAAATTCTTTTATTATCATAAGTTTTACATAATATTACATCATAGTATTATGCTATAAACTTTTAAAATTTTAATATTTTTGTAAATTTTATATAATATTATACTGTAATATACTGTAATATTATGAAGTAACTACTATGCCTTAAACTTTTGCAAGTTATATACCTATAATACTTTCATAGTATTATATCGTAATATTATAGAATATTATGAAAATATAAATTATGTAATCTTATGATAGGCTCATATATTTTCATAATATTATAGAATGTAAGTTTAGCGCAATATTATGTCTTATTAAATTTACTAATAAAATAATAAATCATTTGATGTTACATAAAAGTTATTATTGTTCAGAATGCATAATATTATTATTTATTAGATAATTTTGCAGAATAAATAATTAGAAGTTGAAAAAATTTATTATTCAGAAATTTCATGTAAATTGAAGTATTTATTAGTCATAATTTTATAATTTTATTAACATTGCATAAAATTTAAAAAACTTTTATAATATTGAATAACTCATTAGATAATCTTACAAAATTAATAATATTATATAAATGCTTATATATTTATAAAAAATTTATTTATAAGTAAAGTAATTGCATACTTTTTCTTTTTAATTTGTTCAAAATTTATTTTTAATAATTACAAATTGTAAAATACCTAATATAATTAATTGAAACAATTAAGAAGTTCAATTTTTAATTGAAGGAAGAAGGAGTAGAAATAATGAATATTGATTGAGACTTAATAAATCAAAAAGACACTTTTGGAATGATGTTACAAAAAAAATTAAAGATAATTTTAAAACAAAAATTGATGCAAAGTAATGTTAGAATAAATTTAATGGATTAGTAAAGGATTTGTAAAATAAGTAAATGAAAATATAAAATCCATTTGTAATTAATAAAATAATAATTAATTAATTCATATTTTTAGTTATTTGAACTTTATATGAATAGAAATTTAAAAGAAAACTGGTCAAAAGTTGGAGAGATATTCAGTGAACAATTTAAAAATTGTTTTTGGAAAAAACCAAATAATTATAAATAAATTTTTTATTATTTTTATTCATAAATGAATCAGTTTAAAACTTAAAATTATTTATATTTTATAGTTTCTTGTGTAGATATGCTGCTTTATAGCAATAAAAGCAAAAAGAACAATATAAAAAATTTTTTATTTATATATTACAATTTTATATTTAATCTAAATTTAAATATTATTATTTTAGAAACTTTTAACCTTTTATCAACTTTATCTCCTTCACGTCACTCTACCTTACCTTTTTTATATTGTTTTTTCTCTTTTTTATCAAAATCATCTACAATTTTATCAAATACTGAATAAATTCTATTTAATACTACCTTTTTTTTTATTCAACTTTTAACACTCTTTTTTTTTTTAACTTTCTTTAATTTTCTAACGATTAACACTTTTTCTTCTTTTTACTTTTTAACTATTATCACTTTTTATTTTTTTCATTCATTATCAACTTTCTTTTAATTAATTATTGTTACCAAATAATATATTTCTCTCCTTAAATCTCATCTAATTTGTATTTCTTATCCAATTATTATCTTTTTTTTTATTTTTACTTCATTACTTATTTTTATATTCTTTCAGTTTTTTTTTATAGTTTTTTTTCTCATTTTTAGTTAAAAAAAATTTCTTTTCCTAAACAAAGTTTGCTATTTCTACGTAATGTTTAGAAGTAATAATTATAGATTATTCTATATTTAGCTAAAAGTAAGTTTTTTTAAATTTAATTTATGAATTTATTATAAATTTAATGTAATTTCTTAGATAATTTGATAAGTTTCAAAAGTAAGTTTTAACATTTATAGTAGAGTTTAAATAGTTTTAAATTTTTCTTAAATTGTTAAGTTTCATTAATTTTGAAATTTATTAATTTGGGTAGTAATATTAGATAAAATATCATTTGTTAAGACAAAATTAATAATTTATTCATAAAATTTTAAATAATAATGATTATTTATTTACTAAAATATTAGTTTTTGAATAATTTGTTACTAAGTTTTAATTTCGTTATTTTTGTTAATTGACTCTATTATTTATTAAATTATAATATATAAATAAATAAATAAATATTAAATATTATGTGGCTATAAAAAAATTTATATATGTATAATATTTTGAATGTTTATGATGTGTAGAACTTTGAATATTTTTATATTGAATAGTATTATGACGAATTTGCAATTTGTAGTATTTAAAGATAATAATTAGTTCTACATATCTATCTTAGTCTTTATATTATCAGTCTTATATAAAAACGGACTAGACTGCAGTTTTAATTTATAAAGATGAATCAGAAGGACCATTAGTCTTGTAATTTAGTTTTTTATAAAAAAAAATATTTTAACATATTATAACAATGAAAATTTCTAATTTTAATCGAAAGGGAAATCACCGGTCGATCACGTGATATAAAATCATGTGATCCAAATATATATAATCATCATAATAACTGTAATATAATACCAATAAATATATACAATATTATGATATAAACATCACAATTTAACTTAATAGAAATTTAATCAAATACTAACTAATTTCTAATCCCGAATTATAATCTCTAACCCTAATCCCGAACCCTAATTACTAATCCTAATACTAACCTTAATCCCGAATGATAATCTCTAATTCTAATCCCAAACTCTAATCACTTATCCTAACACTAACTCTAATCCCGAATAATAATCCCTAACCCTAATCCTAAATCCTAATCACTAATCTTAACACTAATTTCTAATCCCGAATTATAATCCCTAATCCTAATCCTAAACTTTAATCACTAATTATAATACTAACCCTAATCCCGAATAATAATTCCTAACTCTAATCCTGAACTCTAATCACTCATCCTAACATTAACTCTAATCTCAAATAATAATCCCTAACCCTAATCCCAAATCCTAATCACTAATCCTAACACTAACTCTAATTCTGAATTATAATTCCTAACCCTAATCCTGAACCCTAATCACTAATCCTAATACTAACCCTAATCCCGAATAATAATCTCTAACTCTAATCCTGAACTCTAATCACTCATCCTAACTATAACTCTAATCCTGAATAATAATCCCTAACCCTAATCTCGAACCTAATTACTAACTTTATCTACTAACCCTAATCCCCTGACCCTAATCTGTAAAAAGTAAAATGATTAGAATAGCATTACAATAAAATAACCAATCAGAATATTATAATAAAGTCTTTTCAATAATAAAGCAATATAATTTTTATTGATAATACAGCTAATACATATAACATAAATATTAACAGCATATATATTGAATAATAAAACAACTTCACAATATTAAATTACTTTTTGTTAATTTTACATGCATGTTACCCTATTATGTCCTTTATTTCCACAGTTTTGACATGTTTTTCTCTTATCAATTTCCTTGACACTATCATTTGTATTATCAGATTCATTAGATTTTAATAAATGGTGCTTTTTCCTAGCATGTTGATATTGTACTTCAACAATACTCTTAGCTCTTCCAGCTGGTCTTCCTTTTCATGTAGTAATTATAGGATTCTTAATATTAGCAACATCTTCTATTTCTATTTCTAATTCTTGATTCCTTTGCTTATCCAATATAAATCCATGACAAATACCTATAAATTCATCATAAGAATTAGTAGCAATTGCTATATCAATTGCTTTTCGAGTTATACCTTGAGCTCGACCATATTTCTGTTGAGTACTATTAATTTCTTGTAATGTTGGATTATAAGCCTCAGAACCTCGGATTTGCTTGATATAATCAAACTTATATATCAGATTATCATCATTATTTTGGTTTTGATCTGATGTTATACACAAACTAATAGAAGATTGTTGCCAAATATCAGTATTTTTCTCAATAATATATTCCTTATATCAGCGTGTTGCAATAAGTCCTATATGCCATTTAGCTTGAGTAGAACAACGTAAGATTTTATAGAAATGCCGACATAGATATCCATGAGTTATAAGAAAATTACATGTACAACAATGTGATCCATCTGCCAATAATATAACATAATAATTTTTAGTTCCACAAGATATAACCAATCTCCAAATTTCTTGAATTTGTTCTTTTCCAGTTGTTGATATAATATCAGCAATATGAATCTTGATAACTTCATAATTATC